CCCCCAAAAAATGTTAAGAACTCCCCTTCAATAGGATTCTTTTGGGGTCAGCTAGGTGCTATAGTGGATAAACCAAGGAGTTAGGTGGCAACATGACCTGAGTTCACATCTAAGGCACTTATTAGCTGTGAGATCCTGGGCAATTCACTTCTCTGAGATTAAGTTACTTTATGAGTAAACTGACCATATTGGACTAAGGGGCCTTTGAATCTATTACCCTAAATCATCAAGGTCAGCTGGTATTCTCTTATCTTTTCATTTATCTTGGGCATCAATTTCTCCTTAGCTATTTTTTGTTTTGTAATTTCTAGCCAAAGGACATTCTTCTGGACAGAGAAGACAGAAGTAAAGCAATGATTGAACACTCTACTTTCTCTGGGTTATCAGTTATGGTTGTCTCATTCACCCCGAGAAGCGTTACTATGTCTTCTTCGATCACCATCTTTTCCCTAAGACAGCTAAAACAAACCGCCTCATCTTTGGTTGTCTCTCGGTTTCTTCCCCATCCTTAGCTCATTCATTGCAAGATTTCGCACTCTGCAGAGCTGTGCCACATTTTTGTTTCTGCCTCTCGCTTCCATCTTTTGTCCGTAGCTGTTTAAAACCCAGGTTTGTCAGGGAGTTCCTCACACAGCCACAGCAGTCTCTTCAGACAACTTGCTCCTTATCAGGATTATTTCCTTTGGTGCTTTCAGAGCTACAGTCTTGAGACTTTCCCATTCCTCCTGAGCGCACTTCTCTTGAAGAATTTTGGACAATGAGATAAAACCTAGCCTTCCTGTGAACTCTTTGAAATCTGTTTTTTCCTCTAAATTCTGAAGTACTTTGTCTTTTCCTCAAGATTCACCTTATTTCTACCACAGCAACCAATTCCTTCCTGATAATGAGAATCAGATCCAAAATACCATTTCCCCTTGTTGGGGGAGGGGAGGAAGGGAGGGAGAGAGGAAGATTCTGTAGATGTCTGTAGATGTGTAGAAGATTAAAATCTTCCTTCACATTATGCCTTTCTTCTGTGCTAGTCTTGTGATGTTTCCCAAACTCCTCACCTGTTTAACTTGAAGGGTGCATTATTTACAAATCAGAAATGCATTTGCCTTTCCAGGCTTTCAAAACTTGGACTTCTGATATTGATCCTTCAGAACCCAATAGTTAAAAGACAAGTCCCAATGACTGAATCATATTTGGCTTCAAAATTGTGGCAAGATGAGTATAGTGTACACACACACACACACACACACACACACAACACACACACACACATATATTCTATTTTTCCTTCTAAAGATCTTCACTCAAATGCTCTTAACTATGCTTCCCCGATCTGGGTCCTGGATTTGCTCACATGAGAACACCTTTTTAATGTACAATGCTATCTTATCTCACCCTACCCTTTTTATCTTCCCTGCTTCTTTCAAATAAGTAGCCATCCAGAGCCACATTGTGGTTGTGGATTTCATCTCATCAAACATCAGGGATGGTCAAATTTGCTTCCTTGCATTGGGATTTCCAGTTCAAAAATTCCCCTTATTGCTTAAACTTGGGGCTCTTGAATATAAGGTGTTTCAGGTCATAAGTTTTTTCTATAGATTCTTTTCTTGGATTTTGTCTCCTCCTCTGAGCCTTTGGGTATCTCACTATTATTCTTCCTTCATGTAAGTACTTTGTATGGGATCTGACTTGGAGAATAATATCAGCACTTTTCTCTCCCATTCCTTTTCACTTTGAAGCCCAGACAAATACATCTTTACCAGCCTTTGTTCAATATACTTCATTTCCTAGCCAGGAATTTATCATTCCTGTATTTTTAGCTATGACCCAGAAATCCAAATTCCAAATGACTGAATCATTTGGTGTATTGTTTCCTTAATTACTCTTTGGTGATACTTTGCTATGTTATCTCTCCTATACATCTTTAAATAGAAGATATTTTAATTCATGTGACATTCATATTTCAATGTACTGTGGCATCTGGAGGCAGAGTTGGGCAGCTTTTTTCCTGTTGCATGAAGCTAAACTATGATCCTGCTTAAAAAAAAAGTTTCAGTATTTTGCCTCTAGGATACAAATTCTCTTGCATGTTATTTGAATCCCTATACAATAGTCTATCTCCATTTTATCTTTTCTAACTAATTTCACACTAGCCTACCTCACACACCCTGTGTTCTAACCAAATTGACCTGCTTACTATTCTAAGCACACAACATCCTATCCATTTCTTGTCTCACTGCCTTTGCACATGTTCAGAATACTCTCTATGCTGCCTTCTGCCTCTTAGAACCTATAACTTCCCTTTGAGGCTTAGCTCAAGTCACATACCCTACATGGGGCCATTCCTATTCTCATCCTTCTTCTCTGGATCACTGCAAACACTTCACCCCTGCCAAAAGTACTTTGGGGACATTTTTTATCTACTTATCTGCCTACTCATTGTTTCCACCAAGTAGGAAGTAAGCTCCTTGAGAAAAGGAACTGTTCTGGTTTGGGTTTTTTTTTGCTTTTTTATTATTGTCTAATTTTTTTTTGTTACATTTTAAATTCGGAACTGTCTCCTTCCCTCTCTTCCCACCCCACACTAGAGAAGGCCACCATTTGATGCCGATTTATAATAGTCATACTATGGGCACTTCTTTTTATCAGTTCTTTCTCTAGAGATGGATATCATCTTCCTTCACAGGTCCTTTGTAGTTGATTTGAGTATTTCTAGTACTCAGAATAACTTGTTTGTTCACAATTGTTCTTTGAACAATATTGCTGTTACTGTATACAATGTTCTCTTGGCTCTGTTCACTACATTCTTCATTGTTTCATCCAAGCCTCTATGTTTTTGTAAAATCAACCAGCATAGTAGTATTCCATCACAATCATATGTCACAACTTGTTTAGCCATTGTCCAACTGATAGGCATCCCTTCAATTTCCAGTTCTTTGCTACCACAAAGAGAGCTGTTATAAATATTTTAGAACATATAGGTCCTCTTCTTTTTTCCTAATCACCTTAGGAAACAGACCTAATAATGGTATTGCTGGGTCAAAGGGTATATACAATTTTATAACTCTTTGGGTATAATTCCAGATTGTTCTCCATAATGGTTGGATCAGTTCACAATTTCACCACATGCCTTCCAACATTTGTCATTTTCCCCTTCTATCATTTTAGCCAATCTGATGGGTGTGAGATATCTCAAAGTTGTTTTAATTTGCATTTCTCTAATCAGTAATGATTCAGAGCATTTTTATATGATTATACATAATTTTGATTTCTTCATAGAAAAACTGCCTATTCATATCCTTTGACCATTTATCAATTAGGAGAATGACTCACATTTTTATAAATTTTACAAAGTTCTCTATATATTTGAGATATGAAACTTTTATTCAAGAAACTGTCCATAATTTTTTCCCTTAATTTTCCACTTTACTTCTAATCTTGGCAACACTGGTTTTATTTGTACCAAACCCTTTTAATTTAATATAATCAAAATTATCCATTTCATATTTCACAATTCTTTCTATCTGTTGTTTATTCATAAATTCTTCTCCTTTCCATAAGTCTGATAGGTAATGTGTTCCATGTTCTTCTAATTTTCTTGTAATGTCTTTCTTTGTTTCTAGGTTACTTATCCATTTTGATTTTATCTTGGTAAATGGTATAAGATCTATACCCAATTTCTGCCAGACTGCTTTCCAGTTTTCCCAACAATTTTCACCAAACAGTGAATTTTTATCCCAAAAGCTTGTCTTTACCTTTGTCAAACACAAGGTTACTATAATCATTTACTACTGTGTATTGTGTATCTACTCTGTTTTACTGATCCACCTTTCTATTTCTTAACCAATACCAGATAGTTTTGATAATTACTGCCTTTAATATAGTTTAAGATCTGGTACTGCTAAACCTCCTTCCTTTATATTTTTCCATTAAAATCCTTTTATATGCTTGACCTTTTGTTCTGCCAAATGAATTTTATTATTTTTTTAGCTCAAAAAATAATCGAATAAATAGATTAATTTAGATAGAATTATTTTTATTATATTGGCTTTGCCCACCCATGACTAATATTTCTTCCAATATTTAAATCTCACTTTATTTGTATAAAAAGTGTTTTATAATTATGTTCATGTAGTTCTTGGGTTTGTCTCGGCAGGCATATTCCAGGTATTTTATATAATCTACAGTTATTTTAAACGGGATATCTCTTACTATCTCTTCTTGCAGGGTTTTGTTGCTGACATATAGAAATGCTGATAATTTATGTGGGTTTATTTTATATTCTGCTACTTTGCTAAAATTATTGTTTCAACTAACTTTTCAGTTGAATCTCTAGGATTTTCCAAGTATATCATCATATTATCTGCAAAGAGAGATCATTTTACTACTTCATTGACCATTTTGATTCTGATGATAATAGGTATCCTTATTTCATTCCTGATCTTATTGGGAAGTTTTCTATCTTCTCTTCTCCCTGTTACAAATAATGCTTGCTAGTGGTTTTAGGGAGATACTTCTTATCATTTTAAGGAAAAAATCCATATATAACTATGCTTTTGAGTGTTTGTAATAGGAATGAACCTTGTATTTTGTCAAAAAGTTTTTTCTGCATCTATTGATGTAATCATATGATTTTCATTTCTTTGTTATTGATATGATCAATTATGTTCATAGTTTTCCATATGTTAAACCATCTCAGCATGAATTGTTCTATTTTTCTCTTTGTATCTCCTCACCTAGCACTGTCCCTTGAATATTTTAAGAATTTAATAAATGCTTGTTGAAGTGAAGTGGAATCAAATCCCTTTTCCAAGGAGGGAGCCCCGCTTTTCTCCCCCCGGGAATGTCCTTATCATTGACGCATATTGGCATTTCCTCCCTCATCCCTCTTTCCCCTTCCTGCTGCTGTCAAGTCCCTTGATGTCACCTATATACCATTGTGAGCTGACAGCCCTGCCCAGGCCCTAATGGACACAGCCTATGACAAGGGAGTGATGGTGGCACGGGAACTCAGTGACCATCCCAGAACCATACCATTGGGCCAAGCCAATATGAGGTACCTATAATGCTACCAAGCCTGCACCTCCCAGGATCTGATGACAGACATTAGGGGTCTCCCACCCACCATGGTGGGTGAACCATACCCTGGAGTGGCCCTTGGAGTGGAAGAAGGTCTACTCTGCCAGCTGCTTCATTCTCCAGAGTTCAACCTATTCCCCAAGTCAGCTGTATTTGAAAGTAACTTCATCCAGGTACTCTTGCCCTGTTCTCCAGGTCAACTGTCCTTTGAGCGAGGAGAGCTCTCTCAAACCCCTATACCCAGGAGAGGACTGAAAGACTCATATTAGTTTTGGAATTCCTAGAGGGGAGAGGGATGAGGGAAGGGTGGGGTTGGGTTCTGAATTCTCCTCAAAGTAATTGAACCGCTTACAGAGTTTTGGCTGCATACGGACATCAGGTCTGAACCACGGGGAAAAAGTTCTTTAGTTTTGAATCTCTACATTTGCTCCTACCTTCTCTCTTTGCCCTGCCTACAGCTCCACCCTACCTTTCTGAACCACGTGCCCAAATGAGATAGCTAGAGGGTCATGAGATTAAGACTCAGTTAAAAGTCAATGCTAGAGCTATGCCTTCAAATTCTACCTTCTAGTATTGGGAATGTTTTGGAAAGTCTTCCTGGAAGGTCAGAGATGGATACTATCAGATATGCACTGATTCTACAGGTCCATAGAACTTTTTTTGCTCAACATCAGGGAGAAATTCTCATCATGGTATAACCCACAAAACAGCCTTAGTGGCTTAAAGAAATACTATAACACTATGGGTTTGGAATACTGGTTTAGATTTGTCTTAAAAGTCTTACATGCTGCTTGCTTGAGTCCTGGGCCGGTGAGTCTATACAGTACAGTCAAATTTTTTAAATTTATGGAATAAGGGGCACCTAGGTGGCACAGTGGATAGAGCACCAGCCCTGGATTCAGGAGGACCTGAGTTCAAATCTGGCCTCAGACACATAACACTTACTAGCTGTGTGACCCTGGGCAAGTCACTTAACCCCATTGCCTAGCAAAAACAAAAAATAAAAATAAAAACCAAATAAATTTATGGAATAAAACAAACATTTCCATAACATGGTACAATAATGATTGCACATGAAACTTTAAATCTACTATGCACAACTTGCTATTTCTTTCAAATTTACACAAAATTATCACGTAAATTTTTTTCCTTTTTTTCTTTCCTATCTGCCCCCACTATCATTAGACACAAATAAGTATGTATACGTATGTATGCATATATATATACACACACATATACATACACATATACATATATGCACACACATACATATATATACATATAAGTATAATTATCCTATACATCTATTTATCAGTTCTTTCTCTGAATGCAAATAACATTTTTCTTCATATGTCCTTTATGGTTAATTTGGGTATTTATAATAGTCAAAATAACTTATTAACTTAAAGTCATTCTTAAAATAGTACTGCTGTTACTGTATACAGTGTTCTCTTGATTTTGCTCATTTCACTCTTCATTAGTTCATGCAAATCTTTCTATGTTTTGCTAAGATCATTGAGCTCATCATTTCTTACAGCACAGCAGTATTCCATCACAATTATATATCACAATATTCAGCCATTCCCCAGCTGACGGACATCCCTGAAATTTCCAGTTCTTTGCCATCACAAAGAGAGCTGCTAAAAACATTTTAGAACATATAGGTTCTTTTCCTAATCCCTATTGTGATCCCTAATTATCTTTGGAAACAGACCTAGTAGTGGTATTGCTGGGTCAAAAAGTATAGGTAGTTTAGTATCTCTTTGGGTCTAATTCCAGATTGCTCTCCAAAACGGTTGGTTCAGTTCACAGTTCCACCAACAATGAATTAGTGTCCCAGTTTTTCCATATCCCCTCCAGCATTTGTTGATTTTCTGTTCAATCATTTTAGCCAATCTGGTAGGTGTAAAATATCTCGAGATTGTTTTAATTTGCAATCAATAATCAATAATGATTTAGAACATTTTTTCATATGACTATAAATTGTTTTGATTTCTTCATTGGAAAACTGCCTATTCATATCCTTTGACCATTTATCAATTGGAGAATGACTTATATCCTTATAGATTTGACAAAATTCTCCATATATTTAAGATATGAGACCTTTATCTGATAAACTGTCTATAAAATTTCCGCGCCCCCCCCCCATTTTCTGCTTTCCTTATGATCTTGGCTATATTTCTTTTATTTATACAGAAATTTTTAAATTTAACATAATTGAAATTATCCATTTTACACCTAACTTTCCTTTCTATCTCTTATTTATTTATAAATTGTTCACCTATCCATAAGTCTGATAAGTAATATGTTCCGTGTTCTTCTGATTTTCTTGTAATGTCTCTCATTATATCTAGGTCATATATCCATTTTGACCTTATCTTGGTAAATGGTATAAGGTATTAGTTTATGCCCAGTTTCAAGCCTTATCACTTTCCAGTTTTCCCAACCATTTTTACCAAGTAATGAATTCTTATCCCCAAATCGTAAGTCTTTACACTTGTCAAATGCAAGGTTATTATATTTATTTTCTGCTGTAAATTCTATGTCTAATCTATTCTGTTGGTTTACCTTTCTAATTCTTAGCCAGTACCAGAGAGTTTACTGCCTTATAATACAGTTTAAGATCTGGTACTGCTAAATCACCTTCCTTTGCATTTTTTCCATTATTTCCTTTGATATTCTTGACTTTTTGTTCTTCTAAATAAATTTTATTATTTTTTTAATTCAGTGAAATTTTTTTTCATAATTTAATTGGGATGGCATTGAATTTTATATATATATATAAATTAGTTTATGTAAAATCATCATTTTTATTATATTGGCCCTGCCAACTCATGAATAATTAACATTTCTCCAATTATTTAAATCTGATTTTATTTGTATAAAAAGTGTTTTATAATTATGTTTATGTGGTTCCTGGTTTTGTTTTGTTTTTTGGCAGGTGTACTCCCAGGTATTTTATACTGTCTATAGTTATTTTAAATGTATCCTACAGTTTTAATCAATCAATCAACAAACATATACTAACAGTGTAATCGGGTTTTGCACCAGGTGCTAGGAATATAAAGAGAGCTCTCTCAATGCTTATAGTTTAGTTAGGGCAAGAAAACACATAGATGAAAATTTATTACGCTAGAAATATAAAATATTATATATGAGGAGGTTAGATAAGTGGGATCAGTAAGGTTCCTTCCAGTAACAGGATTTTATGATTCTAAGAGAAATGCTAAATAAGTGGACCTGGCAATAAGCATTATGAGTTCAGAAGAGAGAAGCTAGAAAGTGAGATAGATCTTAAAGATTCTTGGAAAGTGGCTACTATTGCAAACTTTATTTAAGTATACTTATCAAAATGAGCATGTTAACTTTCAGGGTTGGGGTCAGGGCAGGACTCACCAGTCCTTGGAGAGCTCCCACTCAGAAAGAGTCCCTGAATGTTAGTGTATTGTTTGCAGTGGGAACTGTTGGGTTAAGAAGTATCAATTGACTAGGGGCAACACGCTTTCATTTATATTTGATAAAGCAGATCCCCTATTATTTATTCTTGGGAAGTTTTGCAGAAAGAGCTTAGGATTTATTATTGATTGGGTAACATATACCTAGAAATTTCACCACATTTTTCACTGAATTTCGACAAGCAGGCAGATAGATCATAGTAGCCATAATTTATCTAATGGTTAGCTATCATGGGGCAGAGGTCTCAGGTAGCACAGACAACCATGAGATCAGGCTCAAAAATGTGTCACTTGGTAGAAGAGGAGCCAGTGTGGGATTACAAATTTGCTGTAGATAATTAACTTATAGATATTGCCTAGTAATTGCCTAATACTAATTCCCAAGTACATAAGAATATTCATTACTTCAATTGAATTCCCTGTTCAACCAACATGATGCCCCTCATTCCTTCTTACAGCAGTAACATCATTATTAAACACTCACCAAACAATTTCTGCCTTGGGACTTCACAAACTGGTCAGAGAGATAAAATATATACATAAAAGGATAAATAACAATACAACTTAATAAACATTTATTAAGCATCTATTTATTAAGCATGTATAAAGGGCAGCTAGGTGGCGCAGTGGATACAGTACCGGCCCTGAAGTCAAGGGGACCTGAGTTCAAATGTGACCTCAGACCAAACACTTGACACTTACTAGCTGTGTGACCCTGGGCAAGTCACTTAACTCCAATTGCCTAAAAAAAAATTCAGCATGTATAGAGTATTCTGGGGGAGACAAAGTTCAGCCTGTGTCCCTGACCTCATGGGCAGTCTAATTAGGGGTATAAGACAAGTGTACAGATAGCTATAATTCACAAAATTATGTGATAAGTTTGTGAAAGGCATGAAGTTCTGTGAGATTTGAGGGGAATGATGACTAACTACTTGGGGGTATTGGGGAAGGTCGTACTTAAGCTGGGCTTCAGAGGGATAAATAAGATCTCAACAGCTGAGTATTGTGGCTGGGAAAAGATAAGGGGGGCATTCCAGATAGAGAAAACGATGTGAGGAAAGGTACAGAGGTGAGGGGCAAGGAATAAGAGATATGTGGAGGACAGAGAGTCATCTAGTTTGGCAGGAGTATAGACTATATGGACGGGACTCATACAAATATAAATGGAAAGGACTAAATCATTCATCTGTACCAGCCTGGGTGGGATCTGTCCATCCAACTCAGTGTCTATTGAGACCTACATTGCCACATTGGTAGCCACAGGCCAAGCTCCAAGACTTATTTATTGCTGCCAGTGAATATTCCCCTTATCTCCCTCATCCTTTCCTAACTCCTTCCTCCTTCAGCCCTCAAGCTTCAGCTCTTCTCTGATCTTTGCCACTGGAATTGATTTCAGGTCACAAAGACTGAGGACTGGGTAGATGATGAGGATAGGTCCACAACTGTGATCCTTGGAGTGACCTCCTCAGTGCCAAGCCTGCCACTACCAAATATCTTCCTGATGGCTAACGTCACCTGGCCCCACAGACATTTATCAACATGGACTAAAACCATCAATGCACCAACTATCACTCTTAGCAGGTAAACAAAATAAGTAAAATTAATAAACAGTTGAAGGAGAGGGCATTGGAAGTACATTTTTATGACTGAATGGCTGGCATAGGGGCTACTCAATAGTTAGGTACAGAAAAAGAAAAAACACAAAGCTTTGGTCACCAAGGATTTAAATTTGAGTAATCTAGTTATTTTGTTTCTTCTTCTTCTTCTTCTTCTTCTTCTTCTTCTTCTTCTTCTTCTTCTTCTTCTCTTCTTCTTCTTCTTCTTCTTCTTCTTCTTCTTCTTCTCTTCTTCCTCTTTTTCCTCTTCTTCTTCTTCTTCTTCCTCTTTTTCCTCTTCTTCTTCTTCTTCCTCTTCCTCTTCCTCTTCTTCTTCTTCCTCTTCCTCTTCCTCTTCTTCTCTTCCTCTTCTTCTTCCTCTTCCTCTTCCTCTTCCGCTTCCTCTTCCTCTCCTCTCCTCTTCCTCTCCTTCTCCTTCTCCTTCTCCTTCTCCTTCTCCTCCTCCTCCTCCTCCTCCTCCTCCTCCTCCTCCTCCTTCTTCTTCTTCTTCTTCTTCTTCTTCTTCTTCTTCTTCTTCTTCTTCTTCTTCTTCTTCTCTTCTTCTCCTCTTCTCCTCCTCCTCCTCCTTCTCCTCCTTTTCCTTTTCCTCCTCTTCTTCTTCTCTTCCTATTTATTAAACTACTATGTGCCACAAACTATAGTAGATTTAGAGATATGATGACTTAAAAGCAAAACCGTCCCTGCCTTCACAGAGCTTAATTCTCGTGAAGTACATGTCAGCATGTACATATAAAAGTATATATGGAATATATATTCCAAAATAAATACAAGATAGTTTCGGGAGGGGAGGACACCAGCAGCTGGAGGATTAGGAAAGGCTTCAGGTAGAAGGTGGAACAAGTCTTGAAGTAAACCAGGCAGAGCTGAGGAAGATAATAAATACATCATCATCATCAACAACAACAACATTATTGTTGTTGTTATTACTATTAATATTTTATTATTTAGATAACAGAAGAAGGGGTAGAAGGTTAAGAAGCTAATTTAAAGAAGGAGGAAGTGCGTTGGGAATAGTAGTATGTGAACAATTTATTTTTTTTCTACTCCCCTAACTACTCCACTCACCCTTGTCCTTGTCTGGGAACTCTATTCTCTGCTATCATGAAGGGAAATAGACTGATGTCTTTTTCTTGAATTATTAAAGCCAGAGACGTCCTAGGCTTGTTGAGCAGTTGGACCTTTCCACTTATGCTATGGACTCTTTTCTTTCTTTTTTTTTTTCCTTTAGTTTAGTATTTTATTTTTCCCTAGTTACATGTAAAAACAATTTTTTAACATTCGTTTTTAAAACTTTTGAGTTCCAAATTCTCTCCCTTCTTCCCTCACCCCCGCATTGAGAAGGCAAGCAATTCAATATAGATTATATGTGTAGTCATGTAAGACATATCCATAATAGTCATGTTGTGAAACAAAACATAGACAAAAAAACTCAAGAAAAATAAAGAATTTTTTAAAAAGTATGCTTCAATCTGTATTAAAACATCATTAATTCTTTCTCTGCGGATGGATAGCATTTTTCTTTACAAGTTCTTCAGAGTTGTCTTAGATCATTGTATTGTGAGAATAGCTAAGTCTTTTGCAGCTGATCATCTTACAATATTGCTGTTACTTTGTACAAACTACATTTTACTTTGCATCAGCCCATGCAAGTCATTCCAGGTTTTTCTGAGAACATCTTGCTCAGCATTTCTTATAGTACAATAGTATTCCATCATAATCACATACTACAACTTGTTCAGCCATTCCCCAATTGATGGGAATCCCCATAACTTCTAATTCTTTATCCCCAGAAAAGAGCTGTTAGAAATATTTTTGTACATATAGGTTCTTTTCCTTTTTGTTTTTTATCTCTTTTGGGTTACAGACCAAGTAATGGTATTGCCAGATCAGGGGTATGTATGGACTCTTTTCTTTTTCTTTTTTCGTTTTGTTTTGTTTTGGTGAGGCAATCAGGGTTAAGTGACTTGCCCAGAGTCACATAGCTAGTGTCAAGTGTCTGAAGCCAGATTTGAACTTGGGTCCTCCTGACTTCAGGATCAGTTATGCACTCTTTTCTAAAGAGAATTCCCCTAAGCAGAAAGAACTATATTTAGATATCCAGCCACTCCCTCAGCATTTAGGATACTACCTGGCACATAGTAGGCATTTGTGGAACCTGACTGGATTGGAGAAAGGGAATCCAGGCCTTACGCAGTGTTTAATGAATGGCAAATAGGAAAAATGAGACTTCCTGGTTAAGGACAGACTCATTTTACCCAAAGTGATTAGTGGTGTCTTCACTTGTGCCATTAGGATTGTCCCACTGAAATTTGTGGAGATCACGATCTATGACAAGTCCCAATGCGTCTTGAGGGTCAGAACCGTGACTGAAAAGATCTATTACATGAAGCTCCATCCCAAACATCCTGAAACTGTCTTCCATTTCTGGATCCGACTGGTGAACATTCTACGGAAGGGACTGTCCATCACCACCAAAGATCCCAGAATCCATGTGAATCATTGCTTGGTGCCCAAAACCCCTAGCACAATCTTTCTGGAAGAAGTAAGGGTGCTTTTTCCTAATCTTAAAGTGGGCATCAGTCATTAGGGGATGGTTTAGAGTATCCAGTCCTCAGGTGTGTAACTGTCCATCAGCAGTCTTCTCTGAGTGCTTTGAATAATGAGAGACATAGCAAGTCTTGAGTGGGCAATTATCAATTTTTTTTAGCAATTTTTTATTGATAAAACATTAATTAATATTTTATCACTAGAATGTAAAATTCATGAGGATAGGGACTTGTGTCCTAGTCAAATTTTGTATCTCTCCCAGAACTTAGCATAGTGCACTGCACATAGCAGTCAATTAATAAATAATAGCTTATTGAATGTAGCGACTTTGTTAGAGTAATTGATTCACATGAGGTGAAAATAATGTATGTCCACGCACAAATAAAAATTATTTTCTTTAGAAGGCACATGTTCAACTTAATTGATTTTAAAAGTAGAACAGGAAATATAAACATTTAGTAAATTTAATGGCATGTTAGCTTTTTTAAAAACTGCCACTTCCAAATTATGGTCAGTCAAAAGAAAGAAAAAAAAAGACAAGAGATAGGATGAAAAAAGGAAAGGTGGGAAAAAGGGAGGGAGGAAAGAAGGAAGGAAGGAAGGAAGAAGAAAAAACAGGATCCTAGGATTATAAATATAAATTCAATGCAACAAACATTTATGAAGTATCTACTATGTATTAGGCATTGAACTAGGTGCTGAGGATATAAAACTAAAAATGAAAAAGTCCCTGCCCTCAAGGAGCTTGTATTCTATGTGGGAAAACAACATGTACATAGATAAACCAATACAAAATATACAGTTATCCCTTTTACATCACAACTTTCCCCATTGCAGATTGACATAAGACATTAAATGGAAATTTTGGGGGAGTTTTGTGGAAGCCACAGATGACAAAGAAAAAGTTTAGAAACTCAGAAATGTATAAAATAAATGTATAGTGTTTGTATGATGTCAACATATTTTATCTTTTAATACCATAAATATATACAATTTCTTTTTTAAAGTTAAAATGAGTAAAAAGTTAAAGTTTACAAAAACAATGTGAAAGCCAGCAGACAATACACAAAGGCTAGTATTTTTTACTTAACATTGATCTACATATATAGCCTGTGGTCAAATACTTAACCCAAATTTTAAAATAAGGTATTAGAAACATTGCATAAAAGAAATAGAACAACATAACACTCACTAGCTGTGTGACTCTGGGCAAGTCACTTAACCCCAACTGCCTCACCAAAAAAAAAAAAGAAAGAAAGAAAGAAAGAAAAGAAAAGGAAAAATTTCAAACTTCTCTAGGACAAAAGGAGGGCCAAAAATTTTTACACAGATTTTCTGGATCATGGGGGCACTTGCCCCTAACCCCCATGATATGGAAGGGATAACTGTATATGAATAGGATAGAATGAAATTGAGAGTTATAGACAGAGAAGGAAAGAGACAATAAAAAATTGTGGTACTTAGGAAGAGGTTCTTGTTAAATTCCAGGGGAGAAGCCAGATAAATATGTTTTTCAGTAGGGCTGTGAGGCTTCTATTTTGAATTATCACCATGTTCACAAAATTCTTTAAGGAAGGCCTGTTCTGGCCTGGTTCCTTAATCTTGATCTGAGGGAGGGAATTCTAACTCTTTAAATTATTGCCCTCAAACCAAGAGTAAAGTTAATTTAAGTCAGAATTTGAAAAAAGAAAAATAGATACGACCTTTGGACTCCTTCATAACGCTACACCTCAGAGGTGAGGAACAGTCCCTTTTGCTGTTCCCTACCTTCAGTTCTAGGAACCTGGTTCACCATGTAATTCTTTTTCCATATAGTCAACAAAATATGAACCATCAATCTCTCAGTCAAGTGACAGCCTGATGCTGCTCAGTGCCACTGGGGTACATGAAAACTTCTCTAATCTCTGTATAGATCTTACCACCAAGAAAGACCGATTAAAGTAAGTGATTTGTACCCACAGTTAGTCCTCAACAATTTCTCCTGCAGCCAATGTTAACCTCTAGCAAAAGGTGGGAGGGGTGGCTGGGTTAATGAGCACAGGGATGAGGAATGAGGAGTAAGATGCTACAGTTATCACTAAGCAGTTGGTGAATCCTTAATTGACAGTGTTTCTCTGTTAGAAATAATGTTTCCTTAGTTCACCCAGCATTTTATTTTCGTCTCTTATGCATTATATTCTATTTTGCATTCTACTCATTTGTGTTTGAAACACTCTTTAAAAAAATTTTTTTTAAGTTGAAGCAAACCAATTTAATCAGAAAAAAAAAAGCATAGTAATATTTGCAACCACAGCCCTGGTAAAAGACAGCACAGTGAATCTCAATTCCCACTCCACAGAGATCTTGGACTTCATGAAAGGAAATCAGGAAATTCACTGGTTAAATATAAAATTACTACATTTACACAAATTTATAAACTACACTTTGCTAGCATGTAAAAGAGAGGAGAGGAAAAGCCTTAATTAATGTCCATAATCTGAAGCTGTCAGGGATGTGGCTTGTAGAGATTTCCTACCTAATAGCTTCCTCCACCCCCTTATATTTAGAATATTCTGCTTACTAGATTGCAAAGTCCATGAAGACAGGAAGCAAGGCCTATGTAATCTTTGCATTCCATGGCTAGTACATGGTAGGTGTCTAAAAAATGTTTATAGGGTTGGATTGAACTGAATTGACCCTCAAGAAATCATTTCTCTGTTCTACATGTTTTATTCTGATCCAGCCACACTACCCTTCTCCCCCCCCCCACTTTCTTTATAATAGAATAGCATATAATTAAACGGTGGGGCGGGGTTTGAGGAGGAGAAATAAATAGGCTTGACTTGAATAGTGAAGTAACCAAATCTGTCTTGGGGACAACCACCATTTTGGCACACTCCTCTACCCTTTCCACTTCCTTTCTCTACACACTTGTAGGGTCTTATTTGCAATCATTTGATTCATATTCCATCACACTGTAATTCAGTGTTCCTGTCCCTTTCTTCATCTATGTTTTTCTTACCTTCTGTCTCTCCAATTTGTGCCTTCCTTTAAATTCTTCTCTGTCTCCCTTTTTTCCCTGACATCTTTTTTTTTCCTGATTCCTCTCCTCCTCCTCCCTTGACCTCTCTCATTTTATCTTCCTTTCCTTTGAGGTTGCTATACATTATTCCTTACTCTTCATATTTTTCATCCTTCCCTCCTTCCTTCCTTCTCCCTCTCTCCTCTCTTCCCTCTCTCCTTCCTCTTTCCTTCCTTCCTTCCTCTACTTTGTATGTCCCATTGCTATTAACTGTCTGCTATCTTCAAAATTTTGAGATGGTTATTTTTAACTATTTTAATATCTGCTAAATAAATACTAGTTTTGCAAAAGTTTAATTAAAAAAGCAAATCCTTTAATACATTGCATGACTGTGGGGCTCCCCCCCCCAACATTGTTTTAGAGATTTGAATTAAGCCCTTCTCTATATTTGGTTGAGCCCACCTGCTAATTGACCAGGTGGGCCACCAGAGAGCAAAAACATCAGATTTTGCATTTGGGCCAAGACATACGCAGCTGACAACACACACAATAAGTAAGTGCCTTAGGCAGAGGCCAGAACAGATGGAGTGGTACCCACTTGTTCCCCAGCAGAGGCAAAGGTTGGCTCTCCTCCTTTCCTCACTCCCCCTTGGCATTCCCATCTTTTCTCTAGGCAATTTTTAGAAGCATCATACCCACTCAATATAATCATGATTTACCATTCCTATATTTATATCTATGCCTAAAACATTTCTACTTTGGTAAAACACCAAGACTAATTTTGAAAATATGGTTTCTTTTTTGGTGACTGGGTATCCCTATCTTGCCCAGGCTATGGAAGTACAGTGGCCACTCCAGGCTGATTCCACTGTTGGTAAGCAAGGAACATTTGACCTGCTCCATTTTGGGGAGACTGCCCCCTCCTTAAGCAGTCTGGCAACCTCTGGCTCCTGAGGACTTACCATATTGGTACTGAATTTAGAGATCAGACTCCCATGATTGGTGTTAGCCCTACTGCAGCTCAGAACTCCAGAATTCAAGTGATGTACAAGCCTCAGCCTCCCCTAAAAGCAGGGATTGCAGGCATGTGCTACCATTCCCTCCCAAAAACACAGTTTTAATGATTTTCATTTTTTTCTTTGTTTCTTTTCTTAACTTTTGGGATTCCAGGAGAAGTTCTAACAGCAATAAAACTAATGAAGCTGAAATCAAAGGAGAAGCCAAATCCATCTCAGGTAAAGTAGAACATAATTCCACATCCATCTGTGATGGGTCTTTTCCTTTGTTTATTTATTTCCTTTATTGTCAATTCCTTGATTGTCAGTTTTTGTTGTTCAGTTGTATTCAACTCTTTGTGACCCCATTTGGTGTTTCCTTGGCAAAGATACTGAGATGGCTGACCATTTCCTTCTCCAGCTCATTTTATAGATGAGGTAACTGAGGCAACCAGGGTTAAGTGACTTGCCTAGGGTCACACAGCTAGTAAGTGTCTGAGACTGGATTTGAACCCAGGTCTTCCTGACCCTAGGCCTGGTACTCTATCCACTGCACCATTTAGCTGCCTTATTTGAACACAGGAAATTAATAAAAAATAGGTGTAACTGAACTGTTTTTGAAAAGAGAAAGCCTCAATTTTAAGGACTTTTTTTTTTGGCTAGGCAATGGGGTTAAGTGACTTGCTCAGGGTCACACAACTAGTAAGTATTATGTGTCTGAGGTTAGATTTGAACTCAGGTCCTCCTGAATCCAGGGCCAGTGCTCTATCCACTGAGCCACCTAGCTGCCCCATTTTAGGGACTTTTGAAAAATAGCTTGTCACAGTGGCTAAAATGCTGAAGCTAGAGTCGAAAAGACCTGGGTTCAAATTCTGCCTCTGACATTGGGTTTATGTAGTCACAGGTCAAGTCCCTTAACCTCTACCCAGTTTCCCCAGCTGCAAAATGGAAATAACAAAACCTGTAATTACCTAGCTCACAGGGCTGTTGTGGGGCTCAAACATCATGCATGCAAAGTGCTTTCCAAACTTTGAAGCACCATAAACCTGTTAAAATTTCTTGTCATGGGAAGTATTTTTTCAAATGAGCAGAAGGAAGTTCAGAAGGTAGACAGAGACAGCCAGGGAAGTGCAGGTACCATGGTGTTTGGTTTAATATAAAATTTAATATTTTTTTAAAAAGTACATGAAAGAGAGTCATAGTTTCCTACCTAGTCCTCTTTTTCTTCTTTGTGTATGGGAATATCCATGTTGGTTAGTATTTGCCAAGTTCATAAAAAATAAAAAATGATTATCTAAAATTTTTTAAATAAAAAATGATTACCAAAAAATTTTTAAATCCTCTGGCATATGAGAATGATCCACAGGTGCTGCTTATCTGTATGACTGAGCACTTCAGCAATCTGTATTTCTTACTTGGTCTTATGATCCACAGGATATGCCAGAGAAAAACAAGACAAGTGGGATATTCAGCAAAGTTCTGAGCACAACTCGAATGACAAAATCAAACTAAAGTGGACAGGTTCTTTGAACCATGGCCTCTGGCAACAAGAGAACCCTTCTGGGGTGCAGCCACTTTCTCGGCTGAGCACCCTAGCAGCCTCCACCCATCAAATGTGGCCACTGCCTTAGGAAGAGGGTCCTTTCAACTGAAGACTCTGACCCCTAGAAGTTATAGAGCAACCATCCCTCTTCTTCACTGCACTAGAACCTCACTATTATACCGTCATCTAGGTCACAGCATGAAATCATTCTAGAGGTGAAACAGGGTTAGAATAAGGCTTTTCCTGTACTTCGACTAAATAAACCTCCCTTGACTAGGAAGCAAGGCTGGGAATTGTAAAAAAGTCCATGTTCTCATAGGTTATATTATAGTGAGGCTTCAGTGTATTTGAACATCTGGGTAAGCCCTTATTGTGAGCAGCAAATATTTAAAGGGCTGTGAAGTAGGAGAGATTCTTCTCAGCCTCAGAGGGCAGAATTAGGAGTATGAGATGGGAAAGTTACAAAAAGATAGATTTGTTTGATGTAAGGAAAAACTCCCTAATAATTAGAGCTTTACAAAAGTGAAACAAGGGGGAGCTACATGGTGCAGTGGACTTCAGGGCCCACCAGCCCTGAAGTCAAGAGGACCTGAGTTCAAATCGGGTCTCAGACCAAACATTTGACACTTACTAGCTGTGTGACCCTGGGCAAATCACTTAACCACAATTGCCTAAAAAAAAAAAAAAGGTGAAACCGAGGAAGCAAAGAGAAAACTTTCCATGAGAAAATGTCAGAAGCCCAAGCTGTACCAAGTTGTGTCCCTCTGGCCCTTTTTGCTATCAATACCTCTTAAATATATATTTAAAGACTCAAATGCTTTGCTGAGAAAGGAAGCTATTGCTGCCAAGGAAGAAATGAACAAGCAGAGGGGAAGAAAACTCTATGGAGGGGATGGCTCCAGTCACATTGAGCTTTACTTTGTGTTTTCTAAGCACCCTGTGGGAGTAGAGGATTGCAGACCCAGAACACTCCCAAAGCAAGTGGTTGACATCTCAATGCCTTTGCTAGCCTTTCAAGTTGAGCCCTGCTCTTCTCCAGGGGCTAAGTCTAATCCAAGAGCCTTGATAACTAGGAGAAGATGCCTGAGAAGGGCCACTTGGGAGAGCCAATAAGAATTTCTGAAAACTTTATTTCTGGCCTGGAAAACATCGCGTCTTGAATCAGTCGTGCCTTAGCTTGGCTTTTTATCTTCTTAATTTCAGCACTGGCCCCCCCAAAAAAAGAGATGTGAGAAAATACCTCCCTTAACTTTTTTGCCAGGGGTGTGAAGTCCACAGGTATGGAACATTGTATATATCATCATATTTGTATACATATACATACAGATTTTTTAAAAAGTGAAACAGAGGGGCAGCTAGGTGGCACAGTAGATAGAGCTCTGCCTGGCCTTGGAGTCAGGAGGACCTGAGTTCAAATCTGGCCTCAGACACTTGACACTTACTAGCTGTGTGACCCTGGGCAAATCACTTAACCCCATTGCCTAGCAAAAAAAAAAAGTGAAAAAGGCTGCTTCAGGAAGTAATCAATGGGTTCTCCATCACTGAAGATCTTCAAGCAAAGATAGGAGAAACATTTGTTGGGTATGTTGCAGACGAAATTTTTGTTTAGGTGTGGTTTGGACTAGAGGAATTCTGAAGTATCACTTCCAACTAGTGACTCTTAGGGGCAGCTAGGTGGTGCAGTGGATAGAGCACTGGCTCGGACCTGAGTTCAAATGTGACCTCAGACCAAACACTTGACACTTACTAGCTGTGTGACCCTGTGCAAGTCATTTAACCCCAATTACCTAAAACAAACAAACAAGAAAAAAAAACAACTAATGGCTCTTGGGGGAAATAAATTTTTTAAAAAGTATTGTTGAGTGGCCATTTGAAGCTAAACTGTGATCAGATAGGTGCCAGAGGACTCAAAGAAAACTCCAGCCTTGGGTAACAAGAGGTTCAGTGTCTAGGAAACAGTGAGTAGTAGTAGGTTGACAAAGAAAGAGATTTTCTGAATGATGGTGACTTTAACTGGTACGTATGGCGCAAGTTAGATGCATGTTTACCTAGAAGAAGTAAGGATTCTAAATCTCTCCTTCCATGCTTACTTAGGGGAATTGAAGCCAGGAGGACAGCATGCATCCTAAGGAGATGCTTAGAATATCCTATCGTCTGGGACAAGGGGTGTGTTGATTCCTACCTCTTCTCTGAGAGACTCGGGTGATTTGACTATTCCCAGCTGTCAGTATGGTGGGGAAAATGTAAGGAATTGCCAGTAAAGATGGAAGAGATTTGGGTGTAGTGCCTTGAGCTTGGCATCAGGGAAGCCCTTGAGATGCTCCCCATTTGCCAGAAACAATGACATCTAACAATGGCTGACTCCAACAGCATTAGCATTGTAGTTAGGGCACTTAAGGAAGTCAGACAGTGGGAAAGATTACTGGCGTATCTCTTGGTTGGACCAGGTTATGCTTTTAAAAAAATGTTTTGCTCACATTTCTTGTTTGTGTTGCATTTCCCATCCCTTCCCATCCTGTCCCAGAGAGACAACTGTATAATAAAGAATTTTTTAAAAAGGAAGGAAAGTGGAAAAAAGTACTACAAAACTAACTAAAATATCAAAAATAGTCTGATGGCATGGTATTTGACATCAACGGTAAGTCAGTTCTGCAAAGAAGCAGGGGAAAGTGTCTTGTCATATTCTTCCTTTTGGACCAAATTTGGTCCTTATAATTTGTCAGCATGAAGTTTTGATTGTTTTGTTTTATTGTTCTTTTCATTTACATTGTTGCAGACATCGTGTATATATTTTACCTGGTTCTTCATACTCCCCTTTATCAGTCCATATAAATGTTCCTATGTATTTTTCTGCTTCATCATGTTCATTGTTTCTTACAGAGTAGCAACATCCTATTACATTCTGGCACCACAATCTGTTTAGCCATTCTCCAATCAATGATCATATACTTTGCTTCTGGGGTCTTTGCTGCTACAAAAAAGAACTGCTATAAATGAATCTTGGGGGGGTTTTGTCATTGATCTCCTTTGGGTAAATGCCAACAGTGAAATCTCTGGGTCAAAGGATATGAATATTTTAGCCATTTTGTTTGCATAATTCCAAATTGCTTTCCAGAATGTTTGTAACACTTCAGGGCTCCAATCAGTCAGACAAGCATTTATTAAGTGTTTACTATATGCCAGACACTATGCCAAGTATACAAATACAAGCAAAAAGAAAGACAGTGCCTGTCCTCAAGTAAATTACATTTAAATGAGGGAAAGACTACATATAAAAGGGAGCTGAAAAGGGCTGGGCATGGCTGGGAAGGGTGGGTAGTATGGTGATGAAGTGTGTAGGGTCAGAAGCAGAGCCAGGGAGGAATGAAGGATGGCTGGCATAGGATGCTTCCTCAAAATGGAAGTTCTTAGAGGAACTCAACATTGCATTAGTATGCCTATCTCTTTTTTTTTAACCTTTTATAAAGGGATATTTACTGAGAAAATAAAGCAAGAAGTTCAGATCATTCCTCCTAATATGCCCAGGGACAAACTTTCTCCTATACCACTTTAATCTCTGGTGAAAGTGGATTCAACCTTAAATCAGTTGGTACAAAGCATTTGCCCCCCACCAAGTTAACTTCCACATGTAATTCCCTCTTAGAGGCTTGCAATCCATTTCTATGCTGGGTTTAGCAGGTTGCTTGAGACTTCATACTCCACCTGGCCAGGTTGTTCACAAAATCTGCCATGGGCTCCAGCATCTGAGACTCTGGTGGCTTGCTTCTCCTGACCTTTCAAGTTCACAAGGTCACAGTTCACTTCAATATTCCTTCCCCTAAGAACAAGAAAGAAGAAATACAAAAAGGCAAAGGACACAGACCCATATTTAGGGGCCATGTGTGGGCCTTCACTGGGAAATTAATTCCCAAGGTCTCTTCCCACTAAGAGGATTACACGTAGCATGCCTTCCTTCTATTTTAGCTAGGGAGGAAAGACCAGTGTGCGCCATGTTTCCAAAACCTCCCCGACACTGACGATTCACATTTTTAAAAAAATCCCCTTGCCAAGTTATTGGGAATGAGTGACACCTCCGGGACTTTCAAGTGTGCGTTCCTCTTGTTCTCAATGACTTAGAGTATTCTTTCCTATTATTGTGAATACTTGGCAATTCTTCTTTGAGGATGATTTATTCATATCTTTTTACCACTTATCTACTGGGGGAATTGAACAAAGAGCATTTAATAATAGACAGTGGACATGGTGGTAAGAACAAATGTCGTGGGCAGGATGGATGGTATGTGTTGAAGATAGATTTATTGAGGTTTAGAAGAATGGTACAGCTATAGCACCTGCCATGTTTAGTCCTGGATCTCTTAGCTTATTGAATCTGGAGTTACAAGATGTGGGTTTGAATCCCTGGTCCCTGCACCTACAGATATGTTACTTTAGGCAGGTAACTTAACCACTCTGGGCCTCAGTTTCCTCATCTTTAAAATAAGGGTGTTGAACTCAATGTTTAAGTTGCCTTCAAACTCTAGATCTATGCCCCTATGATTATCTTCTTGGGCCATCATCACAGTGATTCGTGAGAGGAGCCATTCAGAGACGTCTAGTTGGCCTATGATTGTGGCTCATACTATTCACGATCTATTTCCTCCCCTCAGTCTCACCCCAACACCCAATGCACAGACAACACAATCATGACAGAGCAGGCAAGCCAACCTAGCTGAAGCAATATGGCACCCTGAGGAAGAGACAGGAGGCAACACGTGCCAGGCAAGTCAAACCACCACCATCACTTTGACTAACATCTGCCCTCAGATCCCAATGGTTTCAGCCCAGGAGAATGAGCCTTGGGAATGGCAGCACTCCTTAAACCATTAGACCTACTTCTAGTCCAGCCTTCACAGCAACAAGGGCTGATCAACTACCACTAGATAGGCACAAGAGCTCAGGGATCAGTAGCACTACTGGCACCCCCATCCAAGACCACCATCCTTGCTCCCAGCCCAATCCTTCCAGGCATCACCTGGGGAGGTGGCTCCTGTCTCAGAGGGGCCAGTTCTCCCTGCCAACTGTCACACAAAGGACAGGCAAACCAGTCCAGCTGAAGCAGCAATTCAACCTGAAGGAGAGAGGGGAAACAGGATGCATCAGGCAAAGTAAACCATCACGACTTTGACCATTATTTCTTCTCAGACCCTGATGGAGACAGCCCGAGATCCTGAACACAAAAGCCTTAAGAACGCTTCCAGCCCCATACTCTCAGCCACAGTCTTGGGAAGCAATATTTATGGAGATGTATTCTGAAAATTGCTTCTGTGGGTGCTACAGCCATTGCTACTGAAAACCAAGAAAAGAATGCTCTTGACATCCAAGTCCTTGGTACTGTTAAACGGTTCAGTCTCAGAAACCAATATGAGTGTAATTCCCTCTGTGGAAATGACAGTAAAGAAGAGGCTTTAACATCCACTTTGTTGCTACACTCTAAGGACTTTCTATGTCTGTTATCTCTCCCATTAGAAAGTGAGTTCCTTGAGAACAGGGACTGTCTTCCTTTTCTTTTTGTAATGCACCCCCCTCCCCCTTAGCACAGTGCTTTGTTCATTATAAGTGCTCGGTAAATGTTTTATTCATTCATCCATCCAGAACTGGAGAAATGAGAAATGATGAGTACTTGTGGTCAGTTCTTGCCTCATACTGCCTGAGTTATACCAGCTGAGCTGATTCTCCACTTCCCATCCTAGTGGGCATTGGCCATATGTCATACTACCCAGTGCCCAATATCAGCAAAATGATGCAGGACTCAGGTGCTTCTACCTTCTAGGCAACTAGGAAGCAGTTTCAAGGGAAGGAAACATTAACTCTTTTGGGGGGAAATAGGAAAGATCTTCCTTTAGGATTGTGTGAATTTTCAGTGAATAGAGCACTAGACTTGGAGTTGGGATGAACATAGGATCTGGAAGAGATCTCAGAGTCCATTTAGTACCAAACTCCTTGATTTACAGAAGAAAAATCTGAGGTTCAGAGAGATTAAATGATTTGCCCAAGGTCACAGAGTGTCAGAGACAGGATTTGGACTCACATCTCCCTGAGCTGGGGCAGCTACATAGCACAGTGCACAGAGCACTGGGCCTAGAGTCAAGACGACCTGAGTTCAAATCAAGCCTCAGACACTTCCTAGCTGTGTGACCCTGGGCAAATCACTTAACCCTGTTTGCCTCAGTTTCCGCATCTGTAAAATGCACTGGAGAAGGAAATGGCAAACCACTCCAGTATCTTTGCCAAGAAAATCCCAAATGGGGCCACAAAGAGTCGGGAACAACTTAACAACTTCCTGACTCAACATCTAGTGTTCTTTCCACTAAGTCATCCTTCTTCTCAAAATCCTGTGACAGAGATTTTCATCTCTCCTTCTCTCCTTCTCAAGGGAGGACCTCACTTCTTAGTTCACTGAGAAAATTGCAGACATTATCTATTATGGGATCATAGATTAAGAGCTGGAAAATTAGCCAATGAAGGAGATGAGAAGAAATCAGAGAAGCAGGAGAAGAACCAGAGAATATGATGTCACAGAAAACAGTTTCAAGAAAGTGATACTTGCATTCAAAACCCTTCATAATCTCCTCCCCGCCTGTCTTTCTAGTCTTCTCACACCTTATTTCCCAACACATACTCTTCGATCCAGTGACACTAGCTTCCTGGCTTTTCCACAAACAAGGCGCTCCATCTCTCAGCTCTGGACATTTTCTCTGGCTAACCCCATGACTTTAATGCTTACCTTCCTCTGTTCCAACTCCTGGCCTCTCTTTGGCTTCTTAAATATCCCAACTAAAATCCCACCTTCTGTAGGAAGCTTTCCCTAACGCCTCATAATTCCAGTGCCTTCCCTCTGTTCATTATTTCCAATTTATCCTGAATGTAGCTTGCTTTGTATATATTTGTTTGCATATTGTCTCCTCCATTAGATTGTAAGCTCCTTGAGGGCAGGGGCTATCTTTTGCCTCTTTTTTGTATCCCCAGTGCTTTGTACAGTACCCAGCACGTAGTAGCTGCTTAAACAATGTTTATTGATTGATTGGTTGATTGAAGAGCAATGAATTGAAGAAAAAATCATAGGACTTAGGGTAATTTCTGCATCATCATAGAAATGGAAGCCAAATTCTAAGGAACTGAGTGTGTTAGGTGGCAAAGAAATGAAACTTTTTCAAGGAGTTTTTCAGTGTAAAGGAGGAAACAAATGCAGGCAAAAATGGAAGGCTTTTTTTTTTTTAAGGATTGCTAAGAACTGAGCCTGTAAAATGAGAGAAGTGTGGATTAGGTGACATTGAAGAAGGATGCTAGGTTTTGGTGGTTCCGTGTTTCTGAGTTGGTAGCAGTTGGGAAGGCACCTAGGAGAGAAAAGATCAAAGATTTATGAGAAAAGAGAGTATAATTGATGAAGCAAAGTCCTGGAGAGAAAATAGGCAGTAATTTTGAGAGCATGGGAAGAGCTGGAGGAAAGTTAGCCTTGGCTGAATCAAAGCTGGCTGATTTATGGGAGATTTTCATTTTTCTCTAATAAGCCCCCTATACTTACTCCAAAATCTTTGGCTGCTTCTTGGAGTGGGCACCATGATCCCCTAACCTTTGAAGAGACATAAACAAATTGGGGCAGTTAGGAGCAGTGGATAGAGCTCCGGCATTGGAGTCAGGAGGACCTAAATTCAAATATGGCCTCAGACATTTGACACTTACTAGCTTTGTGACCCTGGGCAAGTCACTTAACTTCAATTGCCTCACCAAAAAAAAAAAGAGAGAGAGAGAGATAAACAAATCATTCTCTGGCGAGACACAAATTATTTGTTTTCTCAAAAGGAGTTTTCCTAGGTAAGAGAAAAACAAAAACAAGACACAAAAGCCAGAGAACTGACAAATTAAAAATGTACAGGAATCTTTTTCTAAAATACCTTCTGTAAGCCTAATCCAAAAGTGTGCTGGAGCCAGAGAGTTAATTGTTAAGTTTTCACTGAGCATTTACACTTCAAAAATCAGCAAATACTACAGAGCAAGACTTGATTTATTATTTGTTGAATGACTAAGCTTAAGAAAGTGAAGCTGGGCATGCTGAAAAGCAGAATGTCTGTGCATTTTTTCCCACTAGAACTGCCCTAACCCTAAAGCTGGTTCTACCCATGTCTCAGTTTGTTTGTTTCATCTGTTTATTTGTTTGTGTGCCTCTTGTCCCAGCAAACATCCAGGCTTGTTCTTACTATGTGGCCATTTTTGACCACTACCCTTCATTATCCTTTATAATCTGGCTCAAGTAGGACTCTTGCCTCCTGAAGCCCCAGACTAACTTGACTTTTTGTTCCCAAATCTGCCCTCTATTGAACCTTCTACTATGTTTTGGCCCCTGATCTGAAGAAAAGGTGCAAGTGGGAGAAAGAGGTTCATTTCTAATTCTCAGCTCATTGGCAGAGTTGACATGATGGTAGCACACTGAACCCAATGAATACATCCTCTTTCCCTCAGGATATTGATTCTACCTACTTCCCCAGCTTACCTTAAAAATATTTAAAAATATTTTATATGTTTATTTATGTATTTTTAAAGTTTTGCTGATAGCATTTCCTGATATACTTCAATCTGATAGAATCCTCCCTTTTGACAAAACTAGTAAAGGAAAGCTAACCGGCAATGACTATGTCTGACAATATACACAATATGCCACAATGGTAGTCCCCCAACTTTCTATTGCTGAGCTCACATTGGATGAAGCACAGTTCACCTTTACGTGGTGATGCCTGGTGAGGGTGGGAACCTAGAGTTGTCCTGGTGTGGACACGCTCTCAGAGCCATGCAGATTGATCCGTGTGTAGCTTATGGTCTTTTTGTTCTGTTTTGAATTCCGTTCTTTCATTATGAACTTTACAGACAGCAATAGACGTGAATGTTCCCATAGATAACCTGTTCTTGCAGAGTTACTTGGAAGCACTGAGATGCTGAGTGACGTCCTCAGTCACACAGATAGCATGTGTCAGAGGCAAGTCTAGAATAGTCTTCCTGACTGCAGGCCAGCCCTCTATCCATGTCTCTCTCTCAAATAAAAGACCTTTAATCAGCAGGGAAAGACTAGTTCCTTGGAGCAGTACTGCACATGGCATTAGTCGGATACACTTGTTAGTTAAATTGATTCTTTGTTAAACTCACCTGAAAAACCATAACCAACAATTTTGGCACCAGGTAAGCAGCATGAAAGGTGCTCTCAAAACAACTTTTTTTTTCTCTCCTTTTAAAAAGAGTCTTTTTAATATCTTCTGTTTGTAACACAAAGGGCCATTTTTCAATCCCTCTGATAACAAAAGCAGCTGAGAAAACCCAAGAGATAGTAATGAAGTCTGACAGCATTTCATTCCTGAGGTCCCCATCTCTATAAGAAGTGGGGAGTCCCATGATGATTTCCTCAGAAGACAATAATATAAATTAACTTTTAAAGACAAATGCATTTGAGAGGTGGAAAGGGGAAAATGATACTGATCTGTGTGCAGAGATCAGAAACTTGGGCACATCCAGCCCCGGTGGGCAGAAACCCTGTTGTACTGCAAGGTCACTGGTAGGAAGGCCATGGGCAAAGGATGGGCAGGTCCCAGAAAACCAGAAGAGTAAGGAGCTAACTTTGGGTGGTGTTCCTCATCGAAGGAGAAAGCCATCTGATGGCTTCCCCATTTTAACTGATTATTCTTCCTAACCAGGTGCTAAGTTCACTAACCAGTGTCTGGTAGAAGCAGCACCCAGTCTACCAATGCCTTCTAAGCTTCAATACCCTAAACCAAGGCCCCCATCAATCCATCCCTGGGATAGCCATGCCCTCCTGAAGAAGAACCTGCTATACACAGGATTGCTGAAAGAATTAATTGTCCATAAAGGCCATACTAAAGTGGAGAAGAACCAAAACACAGATATCTGGTATCAATGTCACAAAGGGCAGATTGCTAGCAAAAATACCTCCAAGAACTACGTGAAATTAATTTTAAAGCATCCCAAAAGGAGTGGCAAGAAAAGTAAGAATGAATGCTGTGTTAATATCTGTGGTACATCTATAAAAACTGAGATGGAAATGGAATTAAAAATCAACAAGCCACACTGTTGTTGTACTGGGTCTTTCTTTTTTTCTGACTTTTAGAAAAAAAACGTGAATTTAATAAACATCAACAAACGTGTATATTTCAACATATAGGGAATGAAAAATGAGAGTTATATACAAAACTGTGAATTGTATAAAAAAATGTAAAAATACAATAAGCAAATAGGTAAAGCAATAGATTAAAGATTAATTGTACTGATGAGTATACTGGGAGTGCTCACAGGTCATAGCTAATGAACTCCTAGAACAAATAATTGTGTTAGGGAAGCTGGGAGGTACAGGGCCTGGGAAGGAAAAATACCTAGGAGCCAAGTTCTTCAAAGAGAAGTTCAACAGTTGAGAACAGGGGAATGGCTTACAACTATCTAGGGACTTAGGGACTTTCTCCCAAGGACTACATCTCCCAGAAGGCTTTAGGGGCAAAGGGTAGTTGAGTCCTCAGGCATAAGTCCCTTACACAAATTTTAAGTAAAAAATTAGGTTATTAAAATGACCTCGGGGAGATATAGCAGGATGGAATCACTATCAGAATCATTGCTCTTGCCACGAATAAAGCCTAGGGAAAAAAAAGTGGGATGGGAAATCTTTATTTTTCCTTTGGTCCTCATGACTGTACGGGTTGAGGGATCAACCAGTAGCCTCCAGTCAAACAAACTCTTCAGTGAGCTCCCAGAGCACATGCGTCTGTCCTCAAGGAGACAAAGAACACATGCCCAGCTCTGTGGGAAAAGGTCTAATCCAGGGGCGGGGAGTCTGAAGTTGGATTTGGTCAAAGGGCCGCACTCGAGGACCTAGAGGGCCACATGTTTCCCCACCCCTGGATCCCAGCTCCCTTTCCATGTCAAGGAGAATGGTTCTTTTGAACTTCCCTTCTAACAGGCAACAAAACTTACCTACTGGCCAGCCAGATCACTCCATTCTTAGATTTTTCCAGTTTGGAAGAGCATGCCAGAACTCAGACTCTACTAGCATAGCCTTCAAGAACCCCAGGTTGCTGTCGCAGCACAATGAGGGACAGGAACTTTTGTGGAACCTGTGCTCCATTGATCTGTTACTGTCTCTCTGGTGAGGTATCTGTTCGCCCCAGCTAATCAGCTGAGGGACATTCGAGACAATTGTCAAGTGTAACAGGAATTTACCAGAGCCGTTTTCATTTTTGTCTTGTGTATCCTCAGAACCTAAAGCATTGCACATAGTAGGGTGTTTAAAAAAAATAAGTTTTTACTGAAATAATAACAGTCATACAAATGCTCTAAATCACTACCGATTCGAGAAATGCACATTAAAAACAACTCTGAGGCACCACCTCACACCTGTCAGATTGGCTAATATGACAGAAAAGGAAAATGACAAATGTTAGAGGGGATGTGGGAAAACTGGGACACTAGTGCACTGTTAGTGGAGTTGTGAACTGATGATCCAACTATTCTGGAGAACAATTTGGAACTATGCACAAAGAGCTGGCTGTAAAACTGTACATACCTTTGATCCAGCAATACTACTACTAGGTCTATAACCTAAGGGGATTTTTTTTTAAAGAGAAAAGGACCTATTTGTACAAAAAATATTTATAGCAGCTCTTTTTGTAGTAGCTGAGAACTGGAAATTGAGGGGATACCCATCAATTGGAGAATGGTTGAACAAGTTGTGGTATATGAATGTAATGGAATACTATTGTGCTATAAGAAATGATGAGCAGGATGATTTCAGAAAAACCTAGAAAAACTTACATGAACTGATACAGAATGAAGTGAGCAGAACCAGGAGAACATTGTACACAGTAAAAGCAATATTGTACAATGAAGAAATATGAATAACTTAGCTGTTCTCAGCAATACAATGATCCAAGACAATTCCAAAGGAATCATGATGAAAAAATGCTATGCACTTCCAGAGAAAGAACTGATGGAGTCTGAATGCAGACTAAAGCATACTATTTTTCTCTTTCTTTCCTTCTTTCTTTATTCCTTCCTTCCTTTCTCTCTCTCTCTCTCTCTCTCTCTCTCTCTCTCTCTCTCTCTCTCTCTCTCTCTCTCTCTCTCTCTCTCTTGTTTTCTTCCACAAAATGACTAATATGGAAATGTTTTACATTATGTATAATCTATATCAGATTGTTTACCATCTCAGGGAGGGAGGAGGGGAGGGAGGAAGAGATAGAATTTGGAACCCAAAACTTTTTTTAAAATGCTAAATACTATTTTTATGTATGATGAGAAAACATTAAAAATGAAAAAAGAAATAATAAAGCTTTAAAATAATAATAAA